TTGTAAATTTCCTTTTGTTATTCTCATCTCCTACTTTAATGTTGGGATCTTGGTATTTCTTATTTCTTTTTAGGCATTTTGCTGTAACGTCACTAGTACCACAACCCGACCTTCTTCGCAACCCGAATCGGCAGGTGAAATCACGGTCAGCAGGTGCTCGCCACAAATTAAACATGTGTGGGAAGTCAGCGCCCCCCCCAGAGAAAGAAATATTCTTGGAAATATTTAAAAGGCAGAATATATTTCCCTAAAGGATTTTAAAAGCAGAAACCAACCCTGCCCACAAGTCTCTCTGTCCCAAACAGAAACCAAGTCTGCAGAAATGCAGATGTGATAATCTTGTCAGAAAGACTGGAATCAGGAAACTGGGATTAGGAAGAAAGATCCGTAGAATCAACACACCAAAAATCTAAGAGTCATCAGCCACAGCCCCAGGGAAGCAGGATATGGCCCTTGGGACATAATAGGATTAACCCACCACCATCAGAATACCAGAAAGGCACACTCAGACTCAGGTCAAAGTTCATGCCACAGGAACAACTCCAAACAAAAGGCTCCAGAGGGTATAAAAACCCACTCCCTACATGTGCTCATTCTCTTCTTTTTTTCTTCCAGAGCCATCTTCCTGTCTGGCTCTCCTCTTCAATAAACTGCAACCTTCTTTCTAAAGCAGTCGCCATGTCGTTTATTCCCGACTTGGACTGAACCATGATGAAGACTTTTCCTTCAACACATGATTAGACTTAATTATGGCTTGGGCTTTTTTTTTTTTTTAGTATCCAAAATGGTTTAAGATTATTGAATACACTGTATTCATAACAGACTCAGAAAACCGGGTTAATCCAGGGAGCATATTAAGCATGTAGCGGGGGCTCAACCTCTTTAGAGTTGCTTATTTTTTTCTTTTAAAACAAAAATTAGCAATGATTCATAACGCAAATCGAGTTCAGAAAGTTCAGTACAGCAGCTCAACAGACGGAATGCAACTACGCCCTTAGCAGAACACACTTGCAAATCTAAACACACACTTCCAGAGGCTAACAGTGAGAAACTCCCCTCCCTAACAACAGTGTTTGTTATTCTCATTTTTATGAAATTAATGAGGCGGGCTGAGGACGTTCGGAGCGCAGCGGGTTACCTCTTAAATGAATCAATTACGTCATCTCGGCCCCGCTGTCTAGGTGCCAAGACCTTGCTATAAGAATAGATTCTTGCGGTTGCAACTGCAGTGTTAGCAATTTAGCAAAGATGCACCACAGGGACATGTGCACAAAGTCATTGGAAGCTGAGTCCCAAAGGTGCTTTTTTTTTTCTTCCAGGAGGCAACTGGACTTTCTTGTTTTTCCTTTGAAGACGTTTCGCTTCTCCTCCCAGAAGCTTCTTCAGCTCTGACCGGATGGTGGGCAATGGAAGGATTTATACTCCTTGCAGGCAGCTGGTCATTTGCATCCTTTTAGAGCAGTGGTTCTCAACCTGTGGGTCGGGACCCCATTTGGGGCCGATCGACCATTTCATGGGGGTCGCCAAGCAAGGCTGTTCGCCATTTTTTTCTCCTTTTCCGGTGGGTGCCTTACCTCCCTTGGGCTGGGCCAGCTGGTGGTCGGCCTGCTCCGTCTCTGCCGCTTGCCAGCTACGCCTCGGCAGGCGCAGGGGGCAGAACCACGCATGCGCGGCGCTCCCGGGCAGGGAAAGTCCTCGACTTACGACCAGTTTAGTCCTCGACTTACGACCGGTTGGGGTCGCGGCATTAAAAAGGTTGAGAACCACTGTTTTAGAGAGTCGTTGAGGCCACTTGGAGTTTTTCTGTGTCCTCCAAATGGCCTCAACGACTCTATGGTCAGAGCTGAACACCCTGACCTGGATGACGGAGAATCTCCATAGACGTTGGAAGCTGAGGTTGACTCGATTTTTTTTTTTCAACCAAGTTCTGCACACAAGGCTATTTGCGTGGTTGTGGCCGTTTGTGTCAAAATCTGCAAGGTTTTGATCATCTTGAATCTAAGGAATATCATGTCTGTACCGACTCTGGGATAGAACAATGCTATGGCATCCTCAGGGACAAACAAAACTTGTTCTAGAGCAGGGGTAAGCAACCTTGGCTCTTTTATGACTCGTGGACTTCAACTCCCAGAATTCCTGAGCCAGCCATCCTTATGGTGCTAAAGCAGGGGTCTTCAAACTTGGCCCTTTTATGACTTGTGGACTTCAACTCCCAGAATTCCTCAGCCAGGCACACTGGCTGAGGAATTCTGGGAGTTGAAATCCACGAGTCATAAAAGGGCCAAGTTTGAAGACCCCTGCTTGCGGACTTCAACTCCCAAAATTCCTCAGCCAGGCACGCTGGCTGAGGAATTCTGGGAGTTGAAGTCCAGGAGTCATAAAAGGGCCAAGTCTGAAGACCCCTGCTTGTGGACTTTCAACTCCCAGAATTCCTCAGCCAGACATGCTGGCTGAGGAATTCTGGGAGTTGAAGTCCACAAGTCGTACAAGGGCCGAGTTTGAAGACCCCTGTGCTAAAGCATGCCAAGTTGCTTTAATCAATGCAAGAAGCAGTTTTGAGTTTGTGCATAGTCCAAATGATTTTCAGGGCACCTGCGGTCTGCAATTCTTAGCAAATGGAACAGATCACTGATTAGCTCTTGTCACTCTTAGCAGAAAAGAAAGTTTTTTCATCGTGGGGTTTCAGCCCCCCCCAACCCACCCCTGGAAACCGCTTCCCACCTCCTTCAGCTGGGCCTGACGGTTTCCACTCCTACCTCGTATTCCTGAGACAGCTTGAGGTTATCGTTGGCTTTCAGGTGCTCCGTGTGATCTGCCAGATCCGAAATGGGGATTGGTGGATGGTTCAGCATACCTGGAGGGGGTTTAAAGAGAAGACATGTGGGGAGTGGGAGAGTGGAATTCTTCGACGGAAGCCGTTAGTTAGGAATAAAATGAGAGATGTGTCACTAGTCGAATGACAAAGAGAAACAACTGCAATGGAAGAACGGTTAGAAAAGGTGGGACAGAATGGAAAAGAAAAAAACAAAACAAAACGAGGGCTCGAAATTTTGTCCTTTGGAACTCAAAAGAGAAAATTCCCCGTTATGGCCCCAATCTCAAGACAGAACAGCAGGAAAAATGTGCATTTTTTTATTGAGGAGCAGGAAAAAAAAATGGGCAAGGGAAGGAACGAACCAAACACAGAGATTCTGACCAACAACCCCTTGCTAGCCATTTCAAAAAAGGGGTGGGTGGGATGGGTTAACAGGCCAGGTCAAGGGAGGGAAAAGCAGAGTCCTAAAATAAAATGGAAACACAACAGGTTGGGAGTGCCAGGATGTCAAGGTGCCAAGAATAAAATGTGTTGGGTGTACAAATTATCCATCAAACCCCCTTACTCGTCCACAGCAAAGGGAGGGAAGGATGAAGGTTGTTTGGAGGAATGAGAACTTAACAGGTGTGTTTAGGGGTGCAGTACAAATCTCTGGAGGCTTTTCACAAAGTTGCCACAACCTATGATAAGAGCAGGGGCGGGCAACTATGACAACTTTACGACCTGGGGACTTCAACTCCCAGAATTCTGGGTGTTGAAATCCACAGGTCGTAAAGTTGTCCTAGTTGCCCATCCCTGGATAAGAGATAGACAGGTCTGCCTTTATGCTGAAGAGATAAATTGCTACGAACAATTGGGCAGGAACAGAAAAGAAATCTGATTTAAGTGAGGCCATCTAGTAGGATTTTTTTTTTTTTGGCAATATCCCCCTTTGAGGAAGCATCTGAGGATCTAGCCTGCAGATTCTTCTTTTCCTTTTCAGGAGAAATAAATTCCCTTTAGGCCAGGGGTAGGCAACCTTGGCTCTTTTGTGACCTGTGGACTTCAACTCCCAGAATTCCTGAGCCATCCATGCTGAGGAGAAATGGAGAGGTTTCCAAGCTGAGCCATGCTGACTCAGGAATTCTGGGAGTTGAAGTCCACGAGTCATAAAAGGGCCAGGTTTGAAGACCCCTGCTCTTAATCTTCGTCCTAGGACAGGGGTAGGCAACCTTGGCTCTTTTATGACTCCTGGACTTCAACTCCCAGAATTCCTGAGCCAGCATGGCTCAGCTTGGAAACCTCTCCCTTTCCCCTCAGCATGGCTGGCTCAGGAATTCTGGGAGTTGAAGTCCACGAGTCATAAAAGAGCCAAGGTTGCCTACCCCTGCTTTAGGCCAAAGAGGTCCCCTGCCTGTCATCCTTTAACCAGGGCTAGCACATATTCAAAAGCAAAGGAGAAGAGGGAGGTCATTTATTTCAGATTATTCAGTCTTATCCTGGAGAAAGTAGCGAAAAAACTATTCTCTTGGCACGTGGAGAAGGGGAAAAAAAATATCCCAGGAGGAGGGGAGGGAACCCACAAAATTTCATACTTAAGACATTTAAAAAACGAACACTGTTTCCTCCTGAAATCATCCATCTAATTTGAGGCCTCTTTTTTTTCCTGTTAGATCAGTGGGATTCAAACTTTTACAGGCCGTGGGACCTGTTCATTAAAAAAAAATAAAACCACAATTCAAATGAAGAGGCATGGGGCTTCTGAAAGTCGATAAGCACCCCCCCTCTTCAAAATTTCTGCTATATTGTAGAATCTGAGAGGAGACCAAAAAAAATTTAAAAAAATTCCAAAACTATATCCACCTCTCTGCAAGACAAAAAAAATATCCTTTGCTCCTAGAATATAGTTTTGTCTTGTTTTTTTGTGGATAATTTTTTTTTTTACCCTCCATTCCAAGGGACCCATCCGAGCCCTGCTATTATTAGTAAGCCAAGGGCCTTGTTTAATTTTTTTTCCTTCTTGGATTTAAGCAGGCTCATATCTTTGGAGAGCTTTCCCCTCCAAATGAGCAAATTGAACAACGTGGGTAGAAGTGTGGCCCACCCTTACACTCTCCAGAATTGGATCTCCAGACCAATGCCTGGTATGGTCGGAGGGAAGAAATAGTGAAAATGCAGGAGAATGCAGCTGTATTAAAATATAAATAAAACCATTTTCGTTCAGTTTCACAGCAGGAAGGTGTGGACCGGGAATTAGCAACAGAAATGTTCATGTTGCCACATAAAAGTGATTTACTCAGGTTCTTTCTTATGTTTAGGCATCTAATGAAGGTTATTGTCCAGAAACCTGTGTAATATATGTCTCTTACATAAGCTGAGTTCACAGCACTGACTGCAGAGGGATTTACTCCCACCTTACGAAGACATGATGAAGTCACTGCCTTCGATTCATTCTTCACTTTACCCAGAGGAATATAATCAAATTTAGGGACTGCAGTTCATCAGACTTCTGTGGGAAAGGCGAATGTTCCTTCTACACAAAACCTGCTACATATATTGAGTAAGGACAACGGAAGTACTGGTTTTTGGAAAAGGAGGGTTTAGAAAAACACTCAGAAATACCATCACTTTTGCTTGCAGTTGAAGGGAAGTTCAAGAATTCTGGCAAACATTTGGAATTGAGGGGTCCTGGGTGGACAATAAGTTGGTTGTTTTCTTGCAGACGTTTAGCTGCCTATCTAGCTAACTGTCAACGCTGCTAATACTGAATATTCTTGCTTTGACAAAATATGCAGAACTGCCTGGTACTTTTAGAGTTAATTCAGATGAGAATGGGAGGGGAGGAGAAAGAATGTGTAGAGATTAATTATGTGGGCTTCTGAAGAAAGTGAATCTTTGCTCCCCCAGGCTGGTTGGACAACGTGAATTATGACAGCAAAAGAGGGAGGGAAAATGCTAGCAAAATAACTGCTTTGGGGTGGAGATTTCAGATCTTGGCATCCATCCATGCTGTGCCAGACACTCTGTTACACAGTAATAAAGGCTTTTTAGGATAAACAATGCCTGGAAGTTCTTTGAAGTGTTTCATTAGTCGGAACCTTGACAGTAACATCATCAGTGCTAATGACTGGTGCTAGGATTAGCACTGATGATGTTAGCTAGTTGGGTAAGGGAATTTAGGGGACTGGAGGCTAAAACATATGAAGAACGGTTGCTGGAATTGGGTATGTCTAGTTTAATGAAGAGAAGGACGAGGGGGGACATGATAGCCATGTTCCAGTATCTCAGGGGCTGCCCCAAAGAAGAGGGAGTCAAGCTATTCTCCAAAGCGCCTGAAGGCAGGACAAGAAGCAACGGATGGAAACTAATCAAGGAGAGAAGCAACCTGGAACTAAGGAGGAATTTTCTGACAGTTAGAACAATTAACCAGTGGAACAACCTGCCTCCAGGAACGGTGAATGCTCCAACACTGGAAGTTTTTAAGAAGAGATTGGATAGCCATTTGTCTGAAATGGTATAGGGTCTCCTGCTTCAGCAGGGGGTTCGACTGGAAGATTAAAAATGGAGAATTTGAATCTCCAAGGTCCCTTCCGATTCTAACAGAATAGAATAACAGAGTTGGAAGGGACCTTGTAGGTCATCTAGTCCAACCCCCTGCCCAAGCAGGAGACCCTAACACCATTTCTGACAGATGGCAGTCCAGTCTCTTCTTGAAAGCCTCCAGTGATGAAACTCCCACAGCATCTGGAGGCAAACTGTTCCATTGGTTGATTGTTCTCACTGTCAGAAAACTTCTCCTTAATTCCACATTGCTTCTCTCCTTGATCAGTTTTCATCCATTGTTTCTTGTTTGGCCTTCAGGTGCTTTGAAAAATAAGTTAACCTCCTTCCTCTCTGTGACAGCCCCTCAAATATTGGAACACTGCTATCATGTCTCCCCTGGTCCTTCTCTTCTGTTATTCTGTTGTTCTGAAACATCTGCAAGAAAACAATCAAGCTCAGAGAATACCAAGGACCCCCTCCCCCCATTTCAACCCTGAGCTATAAAATATTCTCCTTTATTGGTGACTTTTGGAACTGTCAAGCTAATAAGGAATCATCAACTTTCAGCCTCATCTTCAAATTTCAGGAAAAAAAAAGAATGACACATGCAGTGTCGAGGCAATTCAGGTGAGCCCTAACAGGTGTCTTACATGGGACAACACATTTTCCAAAGTTTTATACAGTTAATCAAAAACCTCTACACATTCTGTAGTGTAGAGTGCTGGGAGCCACAGAACACAATCCACAGAATTCACAGAAAATGATCTTTCTCTAGCTAGCCTTCTGATAAACCACCACCATGCCTTGCAAATAGAAAAAAAAAGGAGAGGTGGGGAGATGACGGGGAGTGGTGGAGAATTTCGAGCCCCATGGGGTGTTGCGTGATTAAAAGCATCAGCAAGCAGTGGTAGCAGCACAGAGTAAAATAAACCTGGAGGGGAAACTTAAAAAAACAACAACGAAAAACCTAAAACAGACACAGCAAAAGCGTGTATGCTGCCTTTACCAGTTTTACAGTTATGCTTTTGCAAAATAGCAGTCTGGGCTGTTTGCCCAACTCAGGAAACTCACAAACCAATAGATTCTGAGAAAAAAAAGTATTGCAAACCCCCACCTCCACCCCCTTTTTTTTGGAGGGGAATCCTGGATGATTATTTAGTCTCTGAAGATCAGTCAATGATTAAAAACGGAGAATTTGAAAATATCTCCTAAACTTTCAGTTTATTTTCCAGCGGATGAGGGCTCCTGCCTTGGCTCTTTTATGACTTGTGGACTTCAACTCCCAGAATTCCCAAGCCAGCCATGCTGAGGGGAAAGGGAGAGGTTTCCAAGCTGAGTCATACTGGCTCAGGAATTCTGGGAGTTGAAGTCCACGAGTCATAAAAGAGCCAAGGTTGCCTACCCCTGTGCTAGTAGTTATCCAATTCCTCATTGGTCAAGTAAGGTAGTCCTCAACTTATAACCATTCGTTTATTGACTGTTCAAAGTTACGACGGCGCTGAAAAAAAGTGACTTAG